GTTCCACCTACATGTGTATATCTCGCCCTGTCATGTTTTCCCCAACTGATTATTTAACTTCTCTTTGACTATGTTCATGGTTGCAATTCATGGTACTTCAATTAGTACCCTGGGGAATCCATTATACATATTAATTACACTTTGCATAACGAAGAGCTGAAAAAAACCTGCCTAATATTTTTCAGTGAAATGCGAGTACTTAATGTCCCTGTGTACAATCATGATTTTATGCTAAAATATTAGCTCTCAGGGCAAGAGTAAAAATAGTACCTTTAAGATTGCCATGGTAGACCGCCGTAGTAGATGTGGATTGCATTTGTATAAGCATCACAGCCACACTTAGTGCAGCTCAGGCTTGTCTAGCTTTTAGTGCCATTGCTTTTGTAGCTCTGAAATGTCAAAGAGAATTTCACTTGAATTTTAATGTTCCTCAGCTATGCAAAATAAAGTTAGTAGCTTCCATTGTCATAAGGACTGAAAGCTGTACAGATTCCTTCTACCATATGTGACTTATCACATACATTTTTAAAAACACATTTCTGTTATTAAGACATATGTGATAGTACACTTCTGCAAATGTGAATTGCTTTTGGCTAAAAGCCATGCACTAATAAGTTGAGTTGAATCTAACTGCCTTTGACATCTGTTACAATACACACATACATATATATAAAAAATATTCTCAGTTGTCATTAGCATAAAGAATGTCCTTGCTTGTATGCTGTACTGACATAATTCCTATGTCCCAAAACTGGAATCGGAAATCACTCCCTTTTAAAGACTGTAGTTTGCATACTGTCAGTGAACTGAGGCTGGTATTTAACTCTTTTAACTATTTAACATATCAGTTAAGGAGCATAACTAAGACTTCTATAGAAATGGTCTATTTACTTCTGGTTGCTAAGTTTCTTAATGTTGCCCTTTTCATATTCAGGAGGAAGTTTGCTGTTCCTATTTATTCTCTAGGAAGCCTCCAACAGTTAACTCTTCTGGAGGGAATAAAGAGGAAGTTCCCTTACTACATTTTAATAAGCCAGCCAAGGATCTGGCTTGTTAATATCCAGGTGTTTGTAGGTGCTTAGACTAACAAACACATGTGAACTTGCCCAGGGCCAAGGTGGATGCTGGTGGTGATCAGCTCCTTCAGAGCACTTGGTCTCAATTCCATGTTGCTTGTAGCACTACAAGGAAACATAGCACAACCAGAGGAACACATCTTTATGCGTTGATAGCATCATCTGACACAATATTACTGTAGATAAGCGCACAGAAAATAGCTAATTGATTTTTTTCTGTGCAATAGTGCAGTTAGTATTCCAAAAACATAAGACCATCTAAAGACCGTGTCTTTATGAGGCACCAATATGGCCTGCATAACTGCAGAATCTGAGCATCTCATTCATTCTCTCATTTATTCTCCCCTGTCCCTGTCATATAAGAAGCACTTGCCGACCCCATCAGCTCTATCCATATTTACGCTGAGAGTCTGTAGTAGAGAAGGGAGCAAATTCCAGGATGCAAAGTCCTAGATACTTTCTGCCCTGCTTGGGAGAGAAGTAGGCCCATGCTTGTCATACTGTTCCCATCCCTGAGTCTGAAAGAGGTGACGTGACCTACCCAAGTTTACCCTGTGGAAGGTTTCCAGTCTCTAAAGAACTGTTACATAAGGAACGGGTTTGAATTAGGGCACACCCAGAGGAAATAATTGTCTGTATACTCTGTGGTTCGATGGAGGAGGGGGAGGACAGAGATCTCATTAGGAATCAATAGCAGCTTTTTTTATGAAACCCAACCGATGATCACACTTCCCACACTTTTTTCCAGACTTGGGTAGGCAATGGGAGCCCAAACCAGCTGAGGAGTAAAGCCTAGAGTCTGGAGGAATCATGTCTGTGTTGACTTGGACCACATCCCTTGGCTTGTCTTGGTGGTTCAAGCTGCAGGATACCCCCAGATCCAGGTTTAGTCAGGGTTAGACCTGTAGAGCCTCATCCTCATGTACAAATACACTTCACTTGGCAGCCTATAGGTTAATGTAGACAGAAGGTCGACCAGCCAATGCTTCATAGCTACCAGTGGCAGAAAGTAGGGGAAGGAGACCAATTATGGAGTGCAATTATGGAGTCCACAGGGAGCATTCATCCGTCTATCTGTACACAGCAGGTTACACTTCCATAACGGCATGCCGCGTGTTCAGGACTATCGAGGGACTTATCCTCCATGCAAAATCTTTTTTGAAATCTGTTCATACTTCTTGCCCCCACTATGCCCCCCCCATCCTGTGACATATATGACACCGTAGTGTGTGTAGCAATATTATCTTTTGTTTGTTTTAAACCCTTCTCCTGATATATTCACTGGAATCCATGCAAGTAGTTATGAGAAACAGCAAATGATTACTAACTGTGCCTCATTTGTTATATTACAGGTCTGTGTCATATAGACCAAGGAGATACTTCCTACTCAGAAAACACTAATGAAGCAATTTTCCCTCTGAGCATGTGACTCCACCAGTGAGCTAATGTAGACCCAAGCCAAATCTCTCCGAGACTGGAAAAGGAAGAATGTGTATCTCCTAATCAGGCAGAGGCAGTTGTTATAAAGATAACTAGCTTCTTTTTTCTCTTTTCCATGTTAGAGAAAAGATATCTTTGCATGGAAACAACTTCTGAATAGGGACTGGATGTAATCTGACTCTAAATAAATGCCCCAGAGTGCAGTCCTGTATGGAAATGGCCAGAGGGATTCCTTGGGAAAATGTGGGCATGTGAAAGAATCATTCAGATACGTCCTGATGTCATCCAACAGTGGAGACTAGAATAGTTTCGTAAGAGAAATTAGATTTTTAAAATGGAAAAAGAATGTTTTTAAGAGTGGTCTATGTATTCCATTAACTGCTGTAGAACTGTGAGAATATTTGAATTGATTTCTGGCTCCAGGGAAGAAAACATTGACTTCCTTGAATGTCCTTTATCCTCTCTTCTTTTATAGTTGCTTTAAAATTCTTCAACAGAAAGCAATGGCATTTTCCCCAAACACCTGCATATGTTTAAATTTGCTGTAGACTTAATGACTTCCAGATACATATTTTGGAATTATAGCTGGTGTTAAGATCCCACTGCTTTTTATATTTTCAAAATATATTTGTTTTCCATCACTGACCAGACCAGCCAGAGGTTTCTTAACCAGAAAGACTTCTGGTGTTTATTGTTTTTTTCCTGCCATAAAACTCATCTTCTCCTCAGAAGGGCATCCGACTGGACATGGAACGGTTTTCTGTCCCAACATCACTGGAATTGCAATCCATTAACATTTGATATCTTGACATTTCAATTGACCTCTCATTTGCAAAGCGCAGTGGTATTTTTCATGGC